GCTCTATTCCTCTCAGATTTGTCTGGCCATTTTTGACACTTGTCCATGGTCCCTGCCAGAGGTGCTTTAGTCTTGTGGTGGGCTTTCAGGCCTTGCTTTGGACCAACCCCTTTTGGGTTGACTTTTGCCCACGAGGGGATGGGTAACTTCAGGTGTTTGATTTAGAAGTTATATTCTTTGTGTTCCGTATTGTATATTCACTGTATTAAAGTCCCTTTTCATTAAAGTTTATATGTTTTGTCTTGTTGCGGCGGATGGCAGAACCCACTTAGAGCAGGCAGGTTTTTGGGGCTTTAGGGGTGCCCTTCCCCCGTCATCTTAACAGATTTGGGGTGCCCTATAACACTACTAAAACTGTTTCCAAAAATTGAGAAAGAAGGGATACTATCAAATGCACATTATGAAGCCAACATCACACAAATATCAAAACCCAAAAAAGGCAACACAGTAATTGCAAACTGTAGGCCAAACTGCACGCCCTCATGAATATGAATACTAAAATTCTCAGTAAAATCTTAGCAAACAAATACCAACAATACATCAAAATTATCTTAGCCAAAAAGCCAAGATGTGACATTTATTCTAGGGACACAAGAATTGTTTAATATTTGAAAATATGTCAAATCACACGACAAAAAGAAAAAATAAAGCTATTTGATCACACCAATAGATATTAAGAAAGTTATCTGATCTGATAAAGTTCACCATCAATTTATGACAAAAAACTTTGGATAAAACACAAACTCACAGCTAACTTCGTTCTCAATGATAAAAAACTGAAACACTTTCCATTAAGATTAAGAAAAAGATAATGATGTTCTCTCATCACTGTTTTTCAATCTAATACTGGCAGTCCTAGTGTTAAGAGAATGTCTTAAGAGAATGTCTAAAGGAACTCTGCAGAAACTTATGGATTCCACCCCCTACTCCAGCTTTCTGGACTCTACACACCACTCCAGTGATTGTAAACTACAACTCCCAGCAGTACCAGGGAGAGAACTGCAAGGACCCAAGGGTGGAGCTAGCAGGAATGAAGTCTGGGACATTTGGGGGATAAATAGGGCGTGATTGCATCTCTCACTCTCTTTCTGGCTCGGGAAACAGCTCTCCTGACTGCGTGACTCTGTGTGTTCAGTCAGCCTAGCTGTGGGGTATTCCAGTTAACTTTGTAGCCTGCTCTCTTTCCCTGGGTTGTTTCCCATTCCTTTCCCCTTTTGTAAATAAACCCATTATTGACCCTTCTGTGTGTACCTGCAGTATAACAGAATTGTGAGCGCGGTTGAGGCCCCACAGACAGGCGGCCCAGTTCACTGTGGGCTACCCTGTAACACTTAGCTCTAGCAGTCAGGGAAGAGAAAGAAAGGAATCTAAATTGGGAGAAAAGTAAAGCTATCATTATTCGTGATGATATAATGCATAGAGAGAAACCTCAAGACTCCACACAAAAACTGAAACAATAAACCAGGGCCCTCCCTGGTGGCATAATGGGTAGAAGCACAGCACTATGAAGCATCACAAGTTCGATCCCCAGCCAGGGGAGTGACCCACATAGCATGGCAGACCTCTCCTGACCCGCTATTTCAGTCCATCTGCATGTTCTGCTCCCCACTCCATCTCTGGTGAATACTCTCACCCACTGCACCTCTCATCTGTACTCCAGTTCTGTATGGATGTATAAATAAATTAAAGAAAAAAAAAAACTAGCTCAGTAAAGTAGAATACAAAATCAATACCAAAAGAATCAGTAGCCTTCCAACAGCATTCTAAAAAGGGAAAATTAAGAAAACCTCCCCATTTACAACCGTTCAAAAAAAAATTTAAGTATCTGTTAATAAAATTAACAAAACAGGTTAATGAAAAATTACTAAAGGGAAGTTATAAAACATTGTTAAAAGAAATAAAAGATGATAAATAAATGGAAAGACATTTCCTTTTCATATATCAGAGAAATAAACACTGTCAAAATGGCTATCCTACCCAAAGCAATGTACAGATTCAATGCAATGCCAAACAATCTCAATGGCATTCTTCAAAGAAAAAAAAATATATATAGCTGAAATTCACATAGAATTACAGTATTACCTTGTATAGCCAAGCTCTCCTACTAAAACAGGGAAGAATGGAGGAATTAAATCCCCAGGCTTAATACTACAAAACCATAATACTAAAAAACATTATGGTAGCGCAACAAAAACAGACAACAGAACAATGGAATCAAAAAACCCCAGAAATAAAGGCACAAATATATATAGTCAACTAATCTATGACAAAGGAGCAAAGAATGTACACTGTAACAGGAAAATCTTTTCAAGAAGTGGTGTTCAGAAAAATGGACTACGATCTCACACATACACAAGTCAATTCAAAATGAATAAAAAAAAAACCATAAAACCATAAAATAGAAGAAAATCTAGGCAAAAACTCCATGACATAAACATCAAAAACATCTTTGAGGATTAATCTCCAGAATAAGGAAAACAAAGGAGAAGATTAATAGCTAGAACTTCGTCATATCACAAATCTTAAGTATGGCAAAAGAGACAGCACCCAAAATGATGAGATGCCCTATTGAATGGGGAAAATATCTGCAAACCATAAAACTGATATGGTACTAATAGCAAAAATCTACAAAGAGCTCACACAACCAAAAATCAACCAATCTAATCAAAAACTGGGCAAAGCTAAATTGACTTCTCAAAAAAAGAAATGCAAATAGTCAACAGGCATATTTAAAACAGTCAACAGCATTTATTATATGAATGAAAACCGCAATGCAAAAGTACACACCTAAGGCCCTCCCTGGTGGCAAGCGCATTAAAGCACAGCACTAAGAAGCTAAAGCCACTTCAGCATGACTTCGATCCCCACCACGGAGATGATCTACATGGCACGGCAGACCTCTCCTGGCCCGCCCACTGCTCCCTTTAGCAGTGTTACTTTGTCAGCTGATCTGTTCTGCTCCCCACTCTGTCTCTGGTAAAGCCTCTCACTGCCCCTGCAACTCTGACTTATACCCCAGTTCTGTATCTAAAAAAAAAAAAAAAAATTATTCAATTATTCTTACAGAACTGGGGTACAGGCCAGAGGTGTGGTGGGTGAGAGGATTCACCAGAGACAGAGTAGGGAGCACAGCAGGCAGATATACTGAAATACACTGCTAAGGAGAGCAGCAGGCGGGCCATAAGTCTGCCACACCATGTGGGTCAGCTCCCTGGCGGGAGATCAAACTCATGCTGCAGTGGCTTCAGAAAGCTTCATAATACGGTGCTTTAAACCACTGCACCAACAGAGAGAGTCCATAAATGAATAAATCTTTAAAAAAAATAAAGTAATATAACTAGTACAGTCACTATGGGGAGATGACCTACCATATGACCTGGCAATTTCACTTAGGAAACTATTCAAGGGCCACAAAAACTCTAATCCAAAATGAATCCTGCATTCCTATGTACTTCAGGCACTATTTACAATAGCCCAGATACAGAAACAAGCTAAAGGTCCCAAAACAGGTAATGTTTTATATTGTGTGTATTTCACACACAATAAAACAGAACTCAGTGATCAAAAAGATAAACATGCCATTTTTGACAACGTGGATAGAGATGGAAGGGATGACGCTAAGTATAAATCTGAAAGAAAAAGAAAAGTATCAGATAGTTTCACTTATTTCTGGAATATAACTAAACAAAAGGGCAGGGAAAAGACAAAACTTGCAAGCTGAAGGGAGAGGGGTCAACATAGGAGAGGAAAGAGCACCTCACAGGTGCTATGATGGTAGAAGAATTACAGGGACTACACCTGAGGGGCAAAATCAAATTCTGTCAAAAAATTAAAAATATAAGGAAAAAAGTAACTTTAAAAATAAAGTGATAAACTGGTCATTCTCCATTCTTAAAAATTATAAACAGATATCGCTGCTTTATTTACAATGGAAAGACATGGAAACAACCCAAATGCCCAAAAGTTGATGACTGGATTAAAAAGATGTGGTACATACACACGATGGAATATTACTCAGCAATCAAAAAAAGATAAACACATGCCTTTTGCAGCAACATGGATGGAGCTGGAAGGGATCATGTTTAGTGAAGTAAGCCAGAAAGAAAAAGAAAAATACCAGTTGGTTTCACTCATAGCAGGAGCATAAAGGAACAGGGGTTGGGGGGGAAGTGCACTGGACTATGGTGATGGCACACGGGTGATTTGGTGATGGGAAACCTTTGGGGGTTACAACTGAGATGTAAAAAAGCACAAAAAAAATGTAAAAATAGACTATTATGTTAAAATTTAAAAAATTATAAACAAAGATACATGTGAAAAAGCTATGCTTTCTTCTCAGTCTTCAACTCACACCAGAACTCTGGGGACATGTAAGAGATGTGGGTAAGGAAATATTCCTACCAGAGACCTCCCTTACGAGCACTGACATAAGAATCTGAAGGAATCGGCTTGATGCTGATAATTATATAATAATTATATAATAATAACAGCAGTTCATGATGAACATCCCAGGATGATTTATGTCGTCTGTAGTCTTGTGATAGACTCTTCCTTCACTTGGCATTTTGGGAGGCAGCCTTTTCTGTCTACAGACGGTGCTGTCCCGAAAACCTAGTGCCACTCATTAATAAAATGCTTTTTGTCAAAACAAACAAAATTTTAAATAAAAATTACTATCACAGAGCTGAGTATGCATTTATTTCTCCCCTGAGATTCAAGGACAATAATGCAGTGCATCATGAAAAACTAGTTATAGTACAAACTGAAGTTACTGAGTTAATTAACTATACATCTTTGCCTTAAAGTAACCAAAATGTAAATTGCTTGAAATTACTTGTTTTTGCAAACACTTTTAATATTTCTATCATATAAAGGCACCTTTATTTTCTATTTGTCACCTTTTCTTTAAAGAGATGCAATCAAAATATGAGCAAACTTGAAACCTATAATCAGTAATAGCAACAGAAACCAGGTAAAGGTATTGATTAAAACTGCCCAAATTTATTGATGTTGCACTACAGTCTAAATAGGATGTTTTACAGAAAACCAGCATTTGAACAATCAAATATAGAAATGTTTTAAAATACAAAGGAAACCTCCCATTATTGAAATTACATTTTATAAAAGAAAAGGTCTTTTTTAATTCTAAACTGGTATCATTTACATCAAAAAACTTTCTAAGACACAGTACTTTGTTCACTTTCAGTGAAGAATACAGCTGGCATTTCTAATCTCTGGAAGTGTAGTCATCCTGTAACATTGTGACTCCCAATTTACAAATATAACTCACTGAAAATCCTTTATTTTTATGACAGTCACACAATGTAGGTGAAATTCAGTCTTTATCCTTTCATTAACAATAAGGGAAAAAGACAAAGCTATTTTTCAACCAGAATGTAAAATAAATCCAGAAACACAATTAATATAGTCTAAAGGTATCAATTCTTATCATTACAATGTGATCTGACATCTTGACAGGTATATGGAGGTGAAAGGGATATTCTTTTTCTGCTCTTCCTATTCATTGATGATTAACCAAGACCAGCACAAATACTCCAGTACCAACATTGGCAGAATTATTCCACTGGTTTATTTATCTCTCTCAAAACACTAAAATATTCTAGAAATAATAATAAAACACTGCTATAGTTAAGGGGAAAAAATTAAATGTTAAAATCATTTCACATAAAACAAATGACTACTGATTAAAGTTTATATTCTATTTATCACATTTGCACTGAAAAGTATTTTTCAACTAAATATGTACTTTATAGTAAAATCATTTCATCATTTTCTATCATATTTTGATATAAATCTCAAAAAAATTTGCTTAACATAACTCTATACACATATCTTCAACTTTTTCAGACTAAAACCTACTATAGTCTCCATAGCATTTAAAAAAAAACAAAACTTCAAATCTTTTTTGAAAATAGGCAGGGTATTAAGAAGAACAAATTAATTTGCCTTTTCCTATCAAACTACACTGTATATCCTTATTTTGATTAGATGAAAAATTATCTTACAAAAGAAGACTTAAGATAGCTAATACATTCCATTTGATTAATCATAGGATTGTTTTAAAATCTTCTTTAAAGCCAACAGATAATTTAAAATCTGAATTGTATGTGGATATAGGATAATTAATATTTACCAAAGATAAACTTTTAAAGATAGTTAGCTAATAAACTTTTGTAAGAATACATATATACAAAAAGTTCATGGCTTTATTTCCCTTCTCTATATGTTATTGAAGAAAAGTTTGTAAAATGGAAGCCAGGTTAGCTGTCTCCTGTCCAAACAGAAGGGAAAAATGAGCAGAGAAGTAAAATCAAAGACTCAGTTCTTTGGAAACTTGCATTTAAAATTAAATGGTATTTGTCCAAGATCCAACCATAAATCTAAATTGAACAAACATATGCTCTAGGACAGTCGTGAAATGCATAAGAATCTCTTGCAAATTTTTCTGTTTCTTGTTGCAAATTCAATGTTACAGGAAGAGTTTAAGTCTGTGGCTACTGATTTTTTTTTTTTTTTTTCAAAATTTAACACATCTAACCAACTAAACTGCAAGAACTTGCTATTGCCACCATTGAGAGTTTTTGCTTTTACATGCTGCCATCCCTTTTCTACTCATAAGTATCACAACAGCATAAGTCAAGCTATTATCTTACAAAGATAATAGCTACAGAACTAATTCTTACAAAGAACTAATTCTTTAAAACTTGAGAAATGACTATCAATACAGATTGTGGTCAAAATGTTTTACACCATAGTTTATAGCTACAGATTGTTGAAATCTGAGGATTTGGAGGGTTAAGAGATTAAATTCAAACACACTTTCTATCTTAGGAAGTCCACAATGTAAGCATGTAAACTAAGAACTCTTGAAAACTGAAGACCATCGAAACACTGCTCGTTTTTTAGAACCCAAAAGAATTTTCATTGTTCCTAAACCAATTGGACAACTACATTCACAAACTCAAAATAGCAATGGTGTTCACAGCTACACTATCTAATTGTTGCAGAAAGGGTCAAAGTGAGATCATCTGGATAGTACTACATGATCACCACCCACAAATTCCCACAGTGGTAGAGTCACCACAGAAATACAGTACAAAGGAAAGGAAAAAAAACAAAAACAAAGTTGCAGGGTAAAGCATTTAATGTCTTCCTGGTAAACCACCAAGAAAAAGGATTAAGAATTACTAGGTCTTCAAACAGCACTCAACAGAGGCCTACACCTAAATAAGATCCAACCATCTGTACAAACCCTTCCACTAAAAAAGCAGTAAACATGTATCAGGGGCTTATCCTTCTTCCACTAAACCAAATGTCTAAAATCCACTAAGAGGAGGGCCCATGTAGGACAAAGTTAGGCAACTGATTCTCATTTAATCCCTTTCCTACAGAACACTTGACAACAATACAAAGCTAAATACAAGCATCTTGTTAAGGTTACTTTCCTTTAGATTGTGCTTTCAATCTAAACCAGAGCTAGATGGTCCTCTGCTACCACAGAAGATGACCCATGAAAATGGAATCTCTTAACGAGTGATTTCATTAACTTGGGGACCCAGATTAAATATTTAATTAGAACATTCCAGAAAACTTCCATACTTTTATTAGTTCTTTCTTTACATTTCTTTATACTTACGTTGAAGGCTTGATCAACTAAGCTAGTAGAAGTCAACCCTTCAAGTCCAAGTCCATGCATGAGAGTTAATTTTATCCTTCCCTAACTAGAGATTACTCTTTCAATAATAAATGCTATTTGTCTAAAGGAAAGGACTGGATCACACTCAAATGTATAGCTACCACGTGAACCGGTTACTACACACAGAGGCCTGACTATGGCTGTGCATGCTATGTGTTACCCACCTAATAGGAAAGCAACTGCACTTCAATATGATTGGATTTGTATCAGCACAGGATGAACTTGACTCCCACTCAGAGGCCTTTAAAAATTGAGAAAATATACTTTAGAATTAACGGATTCCCTGGCAACTGTACTTAGAGAAAATGGGCTTTTATCCAGAGATTGTAAATGATTAGTAAATGTTACACATACTAATCTAAAAATCTTACATTCTCTTTGCTCAAAAATGATAGCCATTCTTTTTCTTTCAGGACACTTTGTTCTAAAATAATACTCTACTCTGTTTTTTAGAAAATGCAATCCAAAACTCTACTGTGAAAGCAACAGAGACTTTATTACCTATTTGCAATCTGCCATCTTTACAGCACAGTACCACAAATTTGAAAAACAATGCCAATTCTAGGAAGAAAAAGATGTCGAGAAAGTCTACCATAATTTCATTTCTAGGATTTTGGCAACTATACAAATGCATACTAAAGTCTTAGGACTTACTGCAGAATTATGCTTACTGACAAGCTATGAGAAATAAAGGTTTAGAAAAACCAGTTCCCTCTTGATACCTTCTAAGACTCTCCTGCTTATCACTAATCTAAAGATACAATGATGTGACTGACCCTTCCTCCAGACTTAAAAAAATCAAAATGATTGGGTAACTCCTGTTTCTCTCAGTCAGAAAAAGTGAGTCTGACCTGTAACTGCTAGTAATATGCTAAGAAAATATTGCCTCAGAGAACACACAACAGATAAGAATCAAAACAAAATATCCTAGGAGGCAGAAGGAAGTCTGATGCATATAAACATAAAAACCAGGAGATACTAATATGATAAGTAAAATAAACTCACAAAACATTTGATTTTTATGACTTTGTTCCTTATTCTTCAAATTAACTAATTTTTGAGACATCCACCCCAAATAAAAGTAAATGAGGGAAGAAGTAATGAAATGTTTTTAATGCATACACGTACATTTCTAAAGACCACTACAATATGCTGGTCCCCATGGAAAAGATGTTATTCACTCAGATTTGAGTTCTTTTTATTTTGTATTACTCACAAACTATTAAAGCTTTAAAAGAAGTACCAACCCTATTTTATAGCATAAGATTTATTTTGCTATACATCTACATATCTATACTTACAGATATTTACTAGAAAAATAAGGATATTCAAAGCTCAAAGCATCAAGCAGTGGCCATAATTCCTTGGGCAACACAGGAGACTTGTCTTTTAACACAAAAATCCAACTAATATTCAAACATCTTCAATCAAATGTTACCCAAGCTAAAAGAGTTCTATTAGGTTCTCAGACCTCTCCATATGTTCATGTTCAGGAGAGCATCTGTTTGAAATAACTAAAACCACTCATTTATATTTCTAACAAAAACTTGTAAAAGCATGTAAACTAAACCCATTGTGGATCATAATGGTTAAATACACAAACAATTCATTGACATTTTACAAATCATTAAAGTCATACATAAAAGCACCTGCAAAATTAAAAAAAAAAAAAGATTCACAGTGCACTAGAAACTTGTAATATATAAGGCTGGAACATAAAAACATTTTAAAAAGTAAATTTAAAGAAACAGTTCTCTCAAAGACAAAAAACACAAGCTAACACAAATACTGTTCTAGTTTCTTAAAATGCATGCAGCACACAGAAGGAAATTATTGCATATTCAGCACACCCTTGCTTCTTCAAAACATGCTAAAATTTCTCAAAAGAGAAATCCAGTTCTGTGCTAAGCCTGACCCTTCTCAAAGTCACATAAACTTTGAGAAAATAATACACAGCTTCAAAGGAATATGTACTTTTTATGTACTTCAGTAAATGTACATAAAACAGGTACATGCAACTTACATATTTTCTGCATAGTTAAGTTACATCATAAACTATATAACGTCTCTTAATTTTTTTTAATCTCAAATTGACAAGAGAGCCAAAGCCTCAAGTTACCAAAATCCCCTCTCAACAATACCCTTATTTTGTTCCAAGTGCATAAATGAAGCAGCAGTCAGTTAGACTGCTAAAAAGAGAAAACTTGTTGGTTCTTAAAAAAGCTCGAATTAGGATTTACTTCTGGTAACAAACTCTAATGCCCTTTGCTTTTTAGCACTAAAAGCTGAAAGATTCAACACTGGGCACCAAAAAGACTGGGTACTCAAAAAACACACACAGAAATCACCACAAACTAAATGCTTACAGGTGACAGTAAACTAGTGAAAACGATTTACCTGTCAGGCAAACTAAGTTTTCACTTTTAACAAAACTGGAATGCTGGGACTAATTATAAGGTAGACCCAAGCCAAGGTAGCCATAAAAACAGTAAGAGCTTCCAAACACAATAATATAACGCATTTTGTAAAGTTACAGAAAAGATTCACGATTTTGTCACATTGAAAGACGCAGGATTTGGGAATAACCTAATTCAAAAAGTTCTGCTGTTGTTGTGAATTCTCCTGCTTAGCACCAAGAGGGTGACACTTTTATTAATAAATAGAATTTCTCTTTTAAAAATCAAACCATTTAAAAGCCAATGAGAAGCAATACCAAGTGAATTCCTCACAATAGCACTTCTTTTGAAAAGTCTACTGGGTTAAATAAAACCCCTATTAAATAAGCTATGTGTACAGAATAAAGATTTCCCCAATAAAATTTACAAGCAGAGATATATATTTTGTGGATACCACATGTAAAGAAAAGATTTTTTAAAACTCACCTGACAGATGCACACACATGCATATGCTCACACATTCCCCCAATGTCCCACCTTACAAAGAAATACCTTCAATGAGGTCAGAAGCAGCCCAAACATTAAGGTCTCCTTATTAAAGCCCTGATGATTGTCCTCAGTTAGAGCTGAAATCTTTCTTAAAGATGGGCACTGCCATCCATATTTGGATGTTAAGAATCCTGAACGAGAAAAACACATTCCTCACTGTAAGTTATATATGATGCTTCCATGTTCTTCTGGTCCTCTGCAAGTGAAAAATTTAACTTGTAGTTGGTAAACTGCATACCCATTCCCTTCCTGCTCCACCAGGAGCTTCAGCATGTAAATAAAAGCTTGTCAGTCTCTGCTACTACTGCAAATTGGAACCTTGTGGGTATCAGTTTCCAGAGATCAACATTGAGATGCAATGTAGTTATCTTACAAGGTCAGTTTTACACACTGTAATACAGGATACATTTTCACAAGAACAAAATTATTGTACAATACAAACAGGTCAGCAGCAGCAGTAAGGTAAAAAGACATGACCATAGCTATTGCTGAGGGCCAGACTTCTTGCTCTTTGCTCCCCTCTTTTCAGCTGTGTATCAGGTTTTCTCACTTGTGAATCACAATTTCAAATAATACCATCCACCCCCCACCAGGTTCAGCCCCTCTGCAATCTGAAGATTTTGTCTTCCAATGCTGTGCTAAGAGTTCGTCTTAACAACAGGAACATTACTTAGCAGGTACAGGCCCTTAAGAAAATCTTTCAACAAAATCTTTCAAAAAAAAAAAAAAAAGCAGGGGATTAGAGAATTTACAAAGTTAGAAAAAGAGAAATATACAAAATGCCACTATAGCAGCTGATCTGCGATCTTTTGCTTCCATGACATTTCAGCAATGTGTTCATTCGAAAACTATGTATTTTAAGTTCCTTCTAAAAAGTTCAATGTAAGATAACTATTACAATCACTGTTATGGGTAAACACAGCATCCTCATTAATTTGGCTCTTGATGACAATAACACTACTTTTTTCTGATCAAAATACAAATGAAATCCACAATCACACAGAAAAAAGAAATGCCCTCCAAACAGCCAACTTAAATTCAAAAGCTAAACACTGAGAAGGTATGTCTGTATGAAAGATTACAATTACATTTACAGTGCAAACTCGTGTTTCTTGCTACTCTCTCTGCATTGCTTTAAAACACCTGAGAAAGGTGAGGCTCAAAGAGACACCCACTCAAATGCAACAAGTCTTTGATCACAGGCTTCCACAATAAAGCTGTTGCTATCAGAGGTCCAGTATTTTCATTATAGCATTATGGTCAAATTTGAAACTCAAAAAGGCTCTGGATGAAAACGGGAACTTGCAATGTCCATTACATGCCATAGACTGCCCCTCTGCATGTTCTAGCAACTGGTCTTCACCGGAGCAAGGTAAGTCATATACAGCATCTGTTCAAAAAAATAAGAAAAAGAAAAAAACCACTGTCCTTCACCCTGGTTATAAAATTCTTCATGGTTAATATATATATTTTAACTCTTAATGCTCTAAATCTTTGTAGAATGATCAAGATATTTTCCATTCACTTAACTAAATTTCTGAATTAAATGAATTTCTACACTATTATTGCTAATTTTCATACAAACATTTAAAATCTTAACCTCATTCTTTATTTTGACATCCTTAACATTTGCTTTCTTTCAAAATCACTATATCTTTGTCTAATCACATGTTTGTATTTTTTGTGCCCAAGTAATGGGAACCTTTTACATAAATCAAAGTGTAGGTATCAGGTATCATAAAAATTACAATGAGAAGATTTGCTAAGATTTCAATTCTAGAAAAATAAAGTTGAGTTTACCAAACCTTCAGGTATCAAATTGGTATAGCAAAGAAAAGAAAGGATAAAGAAAACCCCAAGTTCTCAAAATTATATCATACTCCAGCTTATACGGATTTTTTTTTTTTTTTTAAGTAGAGCAAGGACTGACCAGTAAAGTAGATTTGGAATGGACACCAAGAGACTAAGGCAAAAAAAAAGGTCTGAAATGGGGTTCCCCAGGACAAGAATCCTTTTATACTTCTTTCTCAAAATAAATTCATTTTTACACTCATATAATACCCAACTAAGGATGTACTAAGTTATAGTGTACCTCCTTTAATGATCCTAAACAGTGGCTTCTGTTCAATAAAGATTTTGTGAAATGATGGAATTCTGAACTTATGGTGACTTGATTTAGTATCAGCCTATCATTTCCCCAATATCCACAAAAATCCATTAAGGAAACTTTAGGGGGCGGAGGGGAAGGAGTGGGGGGCCTAGTAGTGCAAGGGTTGTTAAAGCATAGCATTATGAAGCTCTCTACAGCCATAACAGCACAAATTCAACCCTCAGTCAAGGAACTGACCCACCTGGCACAGTAGACCTCTTCTGTCCCGCCTGCTGCTTCCCTCAGTAGTGTATTTCAGTCGATCTGCTTGTTCTGTTCCCCACTGACTCTAATAAATCCTCTCAACACCCCCACACCTCAGGCCTAGACCCCAGTTCTTGTATGCATAAATGAAAAAATCATTTAAAAAATAATCCTATAACTCAGAAAGAAAATTTTAAAAATCAGGATAAAATCACCATCCTGTTTTCTCATTAGTACTTTCTATTTTCTTTTTTTTAGTCTAAAACATCTTTTAGTTCTTGATTACATGTACAATATACAAACAACCAGAGAATTTCTCAACCCAGAGATATTACTATTAACATTCCAGTGGCCCTCCCCGGTGGTGCTGTGGGTTAAAGCACTAATCTATTCTTTCATAGATAACCATAACTTTCCCCAAAAAGGGATCCCTTTTAAGATGGCTTTTATCTTTTTTTATTTATGAGTTTATTTACTTATACATACAAGAACTGGGGTACAGACCAAAGGTATGGGGGATTCACCAAAGTAGGGAGCAGAACAGGGCAGATGTACTGAAATACACTGCTAAAGGGAGCAGTGGGTGGGTCAAGAGAGGTTTGCCTCATCATATGGGTCACCTCCCTGGCCAGGGATCGAACTTGTGCTGCAGGGCTATGGATAGCTTATTAATGCTGCTCTTCAACCCACTGTGCCATCAGGGAGGGCCAAGATAGCTTTAATCTTGCTTAAGCCATGTAGTACTGTTAGAAAAGAATTATGAATGTGATGCTTTTTTTTATTTCTTAGACTTTTCCATATGACAGTGTGAATACATGCTTATCAACTGCAAGGGAACTCACATAGCTTGAAATATTACCTAAGGAAAATATAGTCTATTGCACTCCTAAATAACATGTATTAAATCATTACTAAAAAGGAACTTTCTACATTCCTGGTATTAGTATCCAATACACTAATACACTACTCTTCTTAACTACGGAGAACTTTCAAATCATTTTAATAAAAGTTATCCTTATTAAGCACTTTAAATAGTTGATCATTAGCCCCTAAGTCAGGAAACCATTACCCTTCTGAAGTTATCCCTCCCCCTACATCCACATGAGAATGAGGTCTCCTTGCTTTTACTATACTTTTCCACTAAGCCTTAAGTAATTATTTATTTACAATATTCATGCACAACCAGAAAGGCTTAATATTCACAAAATAGTATGTTAAAAGCACAAATTCATCTTGATCATTTAAGTAAATTCACTATAGCCAGTTTCATAAAGCTTCACTACACATACGAACTCTCTTTACAAAACATCTGCAATTTATTAATTATTACAGTTCATCATAAAGTAGTCCACAAAATTCAAATCTATGTAAAACCAAACCCCACAAGGCAGAGATTTTAAAAAGAAAATGACTTGCCTGTTTCAAAATTATCCTGAAGTTTTCGTGGGTGGAGTTTTTTTTCACATTTCTATTTAGAAAACAAACACACACACAACACACCATTTCTAGTTATTTCATGTTTCATAAATGTGGGTGTAGTATCAAATTTCTCAGAAAGAAAATTTTAAAAATCAGGATAAAATCACCATCCTGTTTTCTCATTAGTACTTTCTATTTTCTTTTTTTTTTTTTAGTCTAAAACATCTTTTAGTTCTTGATTACACATACAATATACAAACAACCAGAGAATTTCTCGACCTAGAGATATTACTATTAACATTCCAGTGGCCCTCACTGGTGGCGCTGTGGGTTAAAGCACAGCATTAAGAAGCTTAAGCCACTTCTGCATGAGTTCGATCCCTGCCTGCCCCGGAGGTGACCACATGGAGCAGTAGACCTCTCCTGACTGGCCCGCTGCTCCCCTCAGCAGTGTACTTCCTCAGTCAGCCTGTTCTGCTCCCCACTCTGTCTCTGGTGAATCCTCGCACAACCCCTGCACCTCTGGCCTGTATTCCAGTTCTGTACGAATAAATTTTAAAAATTAAAAAAAGAAAAGCAAATATTCAAGTCCATATTTTCCAGCTATTTTTCTGATATGTGAGTGTATTGTTATGTAACTGTTTAACATTTCAGTGAAATTATTTAAAACTATTCTATAAGCTTTCTTTATTGAGATATAATTGATATTATTACTAATAACATTACTAATGTAATGTGACATTACATTAGTTTCAGGTATGCAACGTAACTTCATATTTGTATACACTGAAATAATCACCTCAATAAGTCGAATTGATAGCCATTACCATACAGTTAAAACATGTTTCCTTATAATGAGAACCTCTAAGATTTATTCTTTTAGCAATTTTCAAGTTATATTTATTAACTATATTCATCACGAAGTCATCTCCAGGATGCATTTTTAATTAAAGTTTGTACCTTTTAACATCTTTCACACATTTTGTCTATACCCTCTTCCTGGCAACCACTAATTGGCTCTATCAATAAGCTGTTTTGTTTGCTTATTTTTTTTTTTTAAAGATTTATTTATTTGTACATACAGAACTGGGGTACAGGCCAGAGGCTCAGGGGCGGTGAGAGGCTTCACCAGAGACAGAGCGGGGAGCAGAACAGGCAGATGGACGAGGTACACTGCTGAGGGGAGCAGTGGGCGGGTCAGGAGAGGTCTGCCTCGCCATGTGGTCTCCTCCTGGGCAGGCGGGATTTGAACTCATGCGGAAGTGGCTTTAGCTTCTCAGTGCAGTGCTTTAACCCGCTGCGCCACCAGGGAGGGCCTGTTTGCTTATTTTTATTTAAACAGATTCCACACACAGAAAGACAAGAGCATTTGTCTTTCTTTTATTTCATTTAGTATAAAACTTCAAGATCTATCCATGCAATCACAAACTACAGGATTTTCTATTTTTCTGGCTGAATACTAGTCTTGTGTGTGTGTCATTTTCTTTATTCTTCCATTAATGTATAGTTAGCTTGCTTCCATGCCTTGGTTATTGCAAATAATGCAAGAAACGTGCAAAAGCAAGAATCTTTTTAAGTACCAGACGCAGAAATTCTTAATCATATGATACTCTGATTTGAAGAACTCTCCATATTTTTCACAAAAATTTCATTAATTTACAAGTCTCAACAACAATGCACAGCAGTTTCCCACTTTCTAAGATTCTATAACACTTATTAACTCCTGTTTTTTTTGGTGGTAATCATGTAACAGAGGTGGGCGTGACATCTCACATTGTGATTTTTATATACTCTACGTTTTGAATGCATTATGAATATATTCCATAATACAAATCTATAGCACTGTTTTCAATAACTACATAGTAATCTATTGCATGTATTTACAAGATCGAATTTAATATTATCTTTTTCAATATGTAGATAGTTTCCATTGTTAAAAAGATTACTGGTTTAACTATTCTCTTCAGGGAAACAAAATGAGAACTATTTCTTCTAAAACTCCAAACTTCTCTCCAAAAAGCTATACCAGTTACTAATTTTTAAGTGTCGCTAATACATTCAATAATACACATGTGGATATCATATTTACTTTTGCCAGTCTGACACAAAAAATTCATATCCTATTTTAATGTACATTCTTTCATTATACTACATGTTTACTTCTCTCAGTTTCTTCTACTTGAGAGTTACTTATGAAGCATCCCTATAAGCCCCAGAGATTTTTATTAGTAAGGGGTTAAATTTACATATTAAGAAATGATTTTTATCATTTTGTAATGGACAGATGATGAAATTAAAATTAAAAGCCATTTGACCATCTAGTAAGACTATCTTCTTTATTTTTAATCACTATTTCTACCAGAGTAGAAGTATAGTACTAGTGAAGGGCATGAGCATTAACTGATCTTTAACATGTATTTGCTAGTGGAATCAATGCACCCCCACATTAAATTAATAGCACCTAGGGAATTCAGGTAAATTGTTTTTGCTAAAAACTTGAAATTACCATTAACACCCACTGTTGAAGAAAAAACAATTGGCGGTGCTATCATAAGAAAATTCTACACATAGATATCAATACTTAATAGAAAAGGTAAGCAAAGGAGATCACTATAAATTAATTTCTGGAATACAAAGAAAATGGAAATAAATGCTTTGAAATGCTTACAATTGCTTGTCTCAAGGTTTATTCTAATGACTACAGTACTGGCTGTATTTAACTTTCTGAGTTCTAACACCTAACAGGAAAAAACCATATTGTGATGGTCTTACAAACTTTTAACTTCTAAAATAATAGACTCTAGGAAAATATACAATAGTGGCCAAGATATTGCTCTAGAAAACAGGACTAATGCCACACTGTCTTCATATTAAAATAAATACCCCCACAAAAAAAGCCAAGGTTAAATATGCAATTGAATCAATGTTACAAACCTGTAATTTACACTAGCCAAGGAGATTTTAGTGTGTGAATAGTGTACAGTTTTGCTCTATAAAAATCGTTTATTATGTCAAATAAAGAACAATGCAAATTGACATCAATGTGCTTATTAAAAATGTCCTTGCCTTGCTCTTAAAAAACAGAAACTACCAGAGACCTTCCTCCCTGGTGGCATAGGGTTTAAAGTTACAGCACTGTGAAGCTATCAACAGTCACTGTAACATGAGTGTGATCCCTGGACAGGGAGCTAACCCATATGGTACAGCAGAACTCTCCTGTCTTGACCGCTGCTCCCCTCAGCAGTGTATTTCTGTAGATTCCAACTCTTTCTCTGGTGAATCCTCCCCAAAATACCCACACACACACTTCTGGCCTACATCCCCATTGCATAAATAAATAAAAACAAACCTTCTTCTTTTTTTTTTTTTTTAAAGGAAACTACCTTCTTAGTATAGGGACTCTAAAACACTTACCATCAAGGGATTCTGCTGCTTGGCTTGCTGGCTGTAGATTCCGTTTGTTCGTTTCTTTTGATTAGGTGAATCTTGATACTGCTTTCTGCCATTTCCCCTCACACTTTGATTCTGTTTTTCCATTAAGGAAAAAAAAAAAGTAAATCTATAATGTTTATCAGGCTGAATCAGTTTTGTCTAAATCTCCCCTAAAACTCTTGGGAACTGGGCCCTCCCTGGTGGCGCAGAGGGTTAAAGCACAGCACTGAGAATCTGAAGCCACTTCCACATGAGTTCGATTCCCGCCTGCCGCCTGCCCCGGAGGAGACCACATGGCGAGCCAGACCTCTCCTGGCCCGCCCGCTGCTTCCCTCAGCGGTGTACTTCGTCGATCTGCCTGTTCTTCTCCCCACTCTGTCTCTGGTGAAGCCTCTCACCGCCCCTGAGCCTCTGGCCTGTACCCCAGTTCTACTTCGTCGATCTGCCTGTTCTTCTCCCCACTCTGTCTCTGGTGAAGCCTCTCACCGCCCCTGAGCCTCTGGCCTGTACCCCAGTTCTGTATGAATAAATAAATAAATCTTTAAAAAAAAAAAAAAAAACTCTTGGGAACTATCATGTATCAATCAGTACCTTATATGCAACAGTGCTTCACAAGTCAAGACTCCTTAAGAAATACATAAAAATGTTCATTAATTTACACTACATCAACCTATATAAAAATGTAAACAGTCATGAAGGGGGCCTCCCTGGACACAAAGGGTTAAGCTATAGCACTATGAAGTGACCTGAAGCCACTGAAGCATTGAGTTTGATCCCTGGCCAAGGAGCTAAACCACATGGCACGACAGACCTTCCCTGTTTCACTCACTGCTCCCCTCAGTAGTGTATTTCAGTCAAACTGTCTCTGGTGAATCCTCTCACTCTCCACATCACTATCCTGTACTGCAGTTCTTGTATGCATAAATAAATAAAAACAAACCTTCTTCTTTTTTTTTTTTTTTAAAGGAAACTACCTTCTTAGTATAGGGACTCTAAAACACTTACCATCAAGGGATTCTGCTGCTTGGCTTGCTGGCTGTAGATTCCGTTTGTTCGTTTCTTTTGATTAGGTGAATCTTGATACTGCTTTCTGCCATTTCCCCTCACACTTTGATTCTG